GATTTTAGGGTACTTGGATCGAGAAGTTGTGTCTGACCCCACATGCGCTCCAGATAGTAGTCCAACTGACTGTGATCTTTTTTGTGCCCAATTTAAGACTGTAAAGTACTATTTCTCAAGAGAGGCTAAAGCCGACCTCACTCGAGTTTTTGGTTCTGAAGATTCTGAAATTCACACAATGTGAGGATGGATGTAATCTGTCTAGATGTCTAGACTAGATTCTTGGAAAATGAAGTGAAAATTCATTGTATTGAAAATTGTGGTGAAAAAAACGACAGAAAGTACTTCAGTATACAACTCATAACAGTCGTTGTGTCTGAACAGTACAATATGAACTGGCAAGCGATAAATAATTTAAACACTTTACGCGATTATAAAAGATGAGGAAGTACAATATATAGAGTTATAGTAAGTAAACAGCTTATCAAAGTTATTTGCAGTGCCTTCCCCAACCAGAATGCATGTGGGCACCTCGCCGTGTTAGAAGGAACATCGAATCACAGTACTGTGAGCCATGCAATGGTGGATATTACGGTAGAAAGAAACGAGAAGCCGAGAGAGACGTGGGTTTGATCTATCCCTAAAATCCACAAGTTTTTCACGAGCGTTTGAATTTAACCTGTAGTGCAGGGAAAATCGAAAAAAGAGAGGAGTCCGAAACGACATCCGGCTATCGCAACCCTTCAGCTTCATTTTTGCGCACATTTGTGTTATGAAAGAGACCCAAGTCTAAAGCCGGCGGCAAGCAAGCTAAAGCTCTAGAGCTATGGTCATAGTAATGTTAGTAAGATTTCTGTCGGTGTAATAGACCGAAATAGGGCCAAGAAGTTGTGAACCCAAGGATGTTGGTATGTACAATACTGCCGAGTACTACCGTTCCCAATTTCAGCAGTGCCTACGACGTGATAAACGCGCCACAGATCCAGAATGTGAAACAGACGAGTTTCTTGTAACCAGAATGAAGCGTCAGGCTTACAATCCCTCGGGAATCCTCGACATTGTCAAGCTTCTTAGTAAAGCTATGACTGCGGGAGAAGGTCTGTTCACTTCCCAGCTAATTATTTTTTTATTCTCAGAAGAAAAAATAATCAAGTAGCTGTTCATTCTACCAGCCAATGTGTAAGCAGCCATTACAATTTCAACTCTGAAAAGCAAGGAGCAGTAAATTCTCGATAGTGAAAGACTGACTGATTGAGCAACACATAAATCCGCGCGCGGTCGCATAGCGGTAAGGAAAACAGAGGTGTTGACGTAAAGCTGGTGATCATAGAAGGACTCAAATATTTGGAAAAGCCCTGAGGGCTGACCGAAAGAGCAGTGGTTTGTCTGATGTTAGGGGCAAGTCAAACAAATGATATTTTGTAGTAGTTTTTCTGCCTCTGTCTACTTCTTTTTCTGGGTAGATACATTGAACGTTCACTGTGTTCGCACGGATACCGCGTCGCTACCGCTCGCGACCGGTCCGACAGTTTTCTGACTGTGCACTATTCTAATAGGAGATATTGCATTTTTATTTGATGGATAGGATTAGGCGTGACGCTGCATTGGCTTTCCCCTCCTCTTCACAGTCTTGCGAAGGGTAGCACTGAGGAAGACACGATGGTAGACCAACATTTATGCCGTCAAGCATCACTGTTCTTGGCCCATTAAGACCAGCAGCTTTCTCAAAGGAGCTTATCCCTCTCAAAGCAGTAACTTCAGGTAATCCTGGTG